TAGATGCATCCATGCCCTCACGTGTAGGATTTTATTCTCCCCACGCAGATTCTGGAAAGGGAGTGGTAGACGTGTTCTGGTTTTTACTGAAAGAATTTGGTAGGTTTCCTTCCTAACTGTCTCATCTGTTGTCTTCCTCTCCTTCCCTTGATTGAATTCTAAAACATTTTTTTTTCCATAGGAAATAAGATATTAACCTAAAACACTGCAGAAACATTTTCCTATTGCAAAATGAAGATGGTGGTAGGGTATCACAAGTGTATGTTAAGGACTACACTTGGGCGTGTTCTAGAATTTTAAAAAAAAAAAAAAAAAGGAAAACAGAGAACTGTGATTGAGTCTGTTGCTTGGCCTGTGTGGGTTGGCAGTGGCAATCCTTCCACCTGATGATAGCCGACTGGTGTGAACGGCAGGAGGAGGCACACGTGTTGGTGGTGACTGGTCTTGGCAAAACCAAAGCAATGCTTAATATTTTGCAAGTGGGACTTCCCAGACTTGTTTCTAGATCCTGCTTCCATCCATCTCGGAGGGAAACGCTTTGCTCTAACAATAAATGGACCTACTAGTCCAGTTGAGAAATTCTAAATGTGCTGAAATAATTTAAAATAGCTGTGAATTGGGATTCTGCATCGCATAAGCTTGAGATGGAGAGATCTGTTTGATCACCAGACTCTGTGCCGTCCTCAGCAAAAGCTTGAGGTAGTTTCTCTGCGGAGGGTCCATCCCACAAGATATGGATGGGAAATTGGTGGTTGCATCTGAAGCTAGCTGATAAGAAGACTGAGTGGTGAAATGCTGTAATTTGTCTGAGTGAAGGAATGCTACCGTGGTGTGCTATTCCCCTCTGCTTAAGGTTTTGGAGGAAAACTGTGACGTAATTTTTTACTGCTTCTAGCTGCATATAATAAAGCAGATTGCTGTCTACTGTGACCTTGTCATTACGGACTGGGCCAGCATGAGATTTACAGTGAAATGTGGCAGTTACATTGTTTAGAAAATCTCCCCAAATTAGAAGAAATCAGAAGTTGTACCCATGTACGTAGGTGAGTGAGTTCCACAGCAGAACCTTCCTTCTGAAAGAGCAGCATCCCTTGCACGTTGCTTTCAAGCTTGTAAGACCCATATTTTCAGGGTTGGCTTTGTAAGGAAAAGGAACAACACGTTTACTTCTTAGGATGGTATTTGAAATTATTTTTTACATTTCTAGAATCCCTTAATCCTACGGGTCCTATGGTGATAGGAGGTCTAAGCATGGATTTCTATTTACAGCATTTGTGTGTTGGTTCTGTAAGTCCAGACAGAGTGACCAGTCTGGTGAGTGTGTGCAAATGGCTCTGCTTGGGGTCATACTGGTGATTCAATTTAAAGAGCAGAAATTTCTGTATTCACGGTACTGTGAATATACCAAGTTAGCTATTGTAATTTCCCCATTCTTTTCTGAGTTTACTAGATTGTACTTAAGGATTCAAATTCGGCACCTTCCAGATAGGGTCCAACACTCTACTTTCTCAGAGCAGGAGAGAAAATAGGAAGAATGGGGTACTCAGTAACTGAAAAGACAGATCCCAGTGACTGCTTTTAAGTACCTGAATGGCAGTATGCATGAGGGACTGTCTGTGTGCTTGAAGTTAGAAACATTAACCCATTCTACACTGAGGTAAGGTCCCGTACTTGACCCACGGTAGAGCTTTCCCATCTGTCGGTGGAAATGTCTGATATCAAGGGCACTTTCTAGCCCCTAGCAGGAGTTTCTTTTAGTGAACTGCATTGATGAATGATATTATTACAGCTGCAAGTGGAATTTAGATGTTCATAAAAGTACTTTGCACAGCACTTTGGAGTCCATGAAAAACTAGCTAGAGCCCTATGGCCTGACATTTCCACTTGGAAAGGAACCCAATTTCTTCTTTGGTGTTTTTAATACAAAGACAAGAAAAAAATCTGTGTACTTGTGCACCTCGTGAAGAAAATCCCTTATCAGAAAAGTGTCTCCTGCATGTTCTGCTCACACTGAAGCAGGCTATTTTCCCAAATATTTAGTGTTCAGAAGCAGACCATTTGTTGAGGTTCAGAGCAGCCCATTTACATCCCAGTTGGCTGGGTGTCAAGCTAGCCGCTAAAATATATTATCATTCAAAATGTTAAATGCTTCCTTTAAAAAGTTGGTGGTTGGAAACTGCACTTCAAACCAAGGTCATCAGCATCTTTGCACAGTAAACTTCCCCCATCTCTAGAGAAAAATAATTAAACACTTGGTTCACTTTTAATGAACCTGACAGTGCAAGGGGAGAACTAGTTCTGTTTATTAGGCCTCTGATTTACATGATAACTAAGAGAATAGTCTGAAAGCAGCCATTTATTAAACAGCAATAAAACTTTTGGCTTTTGAAATGTGCCTACTGCTTTGATTATTTTGGCATAAAATTGGTAATTCTCAAAACCTACATTTTATTTCAAACAAAGGTTCAATTGCATCTTCTAAAGGACTGCAAGGTACTCTGTCTCAAAGGAGCATTATCAATATGCTTCTGCTTCCAAACAAATCTGTTCTCAGGTTCTTAATCATAGAGGAAACTACCTTGACTGTATCTACTTTTCTTTCCTTCTTATTTTTTTATATTTTTAAGTCAGATCTATCATTACCTTTTCAGGAGCACAGATTGGTTGAAGCAGCAGTTGAAGGTAGTTCATGAAAAACTTAACGGTGATAGATGTGGACCTTGCTAGTAGCATAGTGCAGAATCAGCTCCTGAGTTACATTCAGGAAACTAAAAATGCAACTAATATAGAATCACAGAATCGCTTTGGTTGGAAGAGACCTCTGGGATCATCGAGTCCAACCTTTGCCCCAACACCCCCATGTCAACCAGACCATGGCACTAAGTGCCACCTCCAGTCTTTTCTTAAACCCCTCCAGGGATGGGGACTCCACCACCTCCTTGGGCAGCCCATTCCAATGCCCAACGACCCTTTCTGGGAAGAAATGCCTCCTCATTTCTAGCCTGAACTTCCCCTGGCACAGTTTCAGCCCTCTTGTCTTGTCACGAGTTGCCTGGGAGAAGAGACCGACCCCCACCTGGCCACCCCCTCCTTTCAGGTCATTGTAGAGAGCGATCAGGTCTCCCCTCAGCCTCCTCTTCTCCAGACCAAACACCCCCAGCTCCCTCAGCCGCTCCCCATCAGACTTGTGCTCCAGACCCTTCCCCACCTTCATTGCCCTTCTCTGGACTCGCTCCAGCACCTCAAGGTCTGTCTTGTGGTGATAGGCCCAGAACTGGACACAGCACTCGAGGTGCGGCCTCACCAGTGCCCAGTACAGGGGGACGATCCCTGCCCTGGTCCTGCTGGCCACACCATTCCTGATACAAGCCAGGATGCCATTGGCCTTCTTGGCCGCCTGGGCACACTGCTGGCTCATGTTCAGCCGGCTGTCGACCAGCACCTCCAGGTCTTTTTCCGCTTGACCACTTTCTAACCACTCTTCCCCCAGCCTGTAACACTGCATGGGGTTTTTGTGGCCGAAGTGCAGGACCCGGCACTTGTTCTTGTTGAAAGTATTAACTTTATAAGCAAAGAATTGAAAGAGTTGTCTGGGGTGTGATGTGATGAGTAGCAGTAGTGGTTCACTTTGGGAAAGCATAGCCGAACATGGGATCTAAAGACATCCCTGTCAGATCTCAGTAGGTTCGTCAAAAAAAAAAAGCCTTGACTGTTTTAAACCCATGAAGTGGAAGTGCCCTTGAATATTTTTTCAGTCAGAATTTTTTCCAAAAATAAATTTGTTTCAATGGGGACTATACTGAATTTGACCATACTTTGCGGAGGGGTGGGGGAAAGAATTAAACTGAAGAATTTTGATTGTGTAGAAATAGTTGTAAGTAGTGCATTTGTAAAGCAGAACGTTTTCAACCTGTTTGAAATCACCTTTGCTTTTTGAAATGCATTATATTTTGTGCAGAAAAGTAATAAAAGTAGTTTTAAAAGTGAAACTGGAAGGAAACATTTTGCTTGCCAGTCTCAGAAGAATTTAATTAAGCTCGGCTGAAAAATACTGGCTTACAGAAAAAAATTGTACTTAAATGTTCTGTCTAATTCAGAATAGAAGATAAAATTTAAGATTCTAGAATTTATACAAAAAAATCTGGCATCTGCACCAGATAAACACAAGGGAGGTGGTTTGCAAAAATTAAAGGACAAAGCTGATGGAAAATGAGTTCTTAGTTCCAAACTTTTCCCACACTTTTAAAGATAAAGGAGAACAATAATCAACCCCTTTGCCTTGGCCTATAAATTAGTGAAATCTGTGGAGCAATCTCCACTGACCTTCACGTGTTCTGGCTCAAGTCCTTCAAATATTTAGAAACAGTTTTTAATTGAAGTGTGAAGAAGTAAAGAAGCTGTGCAGTGCATTCTTGCTTCGGATGCCTCCTTTGACTAGAAGGATAAAGGCAAACCTTGCATTTAGAGTGTCAATAAGCTGAGGGTTATATGTAGTTCCAAAGTGCGCATCAGAGCATTAAGGTCACGATAGGACGCTTTCCTCATTCTGTTCCCTTTTAGGATATCGCTACGTTTTCTTTGGCAGTAATACCAGATGAAGTCTTTTCTCCCCTTTTTTTATTAACAGCCATCCATTTGGGGATTTGTTTTGCAGCGTGGCTCCAGCTGAATGGCACAGTTAAAGGGGACAGGGAACTTCAGAGTGAGGTTGGAAATGGGCAGGTAGCGGCGAGAGGGACTTTTAAGCTTTGCCACCAGAGAAAAGTTAGCACTTAGAAACAGCCTTGTTTTTTTAAAAGAAAAAAAAGGTGTTAAATACAATGTTTTGAGTCACTAAGAGAGGAAGGGTTGTTAGCGTTGTGCCGTTACATGGGAATAATGGCTAAGTGAACCGAACAGGTAGTAGTTACTGTTCATTAAGCGTTACTTGAACCGCTACAGTTCTGAATAAATTTGCAAATGACCGTAAGTAAACTCTAGGATCCTCTTGTGTTTTCCAGGGTGTGCAGACTTGCATCTTCTGGATATGTTGACGCCTACTGAAAGAAAAAGGCAGGGATACATCCACGAGCTCATTGTCACGGAAGAGAACTATGTAAACGATCTGCAGTTGGTCACAGAGGTAAGACGGCACAGCAGGTTTAGGAGCAGGTTTTAATCACTCATCTTTTTAAAGTAAATCAATAATTTCACTGTGCAAACTCATTTTATATCACAGCTGTATTTGACTTCCTAGGGATGATCTGTATTAAATTTTCATATCTATATAGACATATAGATATATATGCATGTGCGTGTGGGTGTGCGTGCAACTAATGTTAAGCCCTTGTGTTACTGTCACCAAAACACTGATGTTTAAAGTATCATTCTAGTAAACCCTTTTTGCTCCTGATTTTGAATGTTTATTTCTCATGTATAAGTTCTTAAAGCTTGAAGCGCATTTTCCACATTCACAGTGGCGCTCAGTTATCACTAACTGTGATTCTCTTTAAATGTTACAAGGTGTATCTCTTATGTGGAAGAAAAGGCAAGTGATTTAGACACTTCTTTTGACAGAGGAGGAAAGGCCTTTTTGAAAAAGAAGGCAAACCCGAGACACTATGATATAAATCGAAGTTTCCATAAAAGAGTCCAAAGTAAAATGTATTTTTGGTTGATTTATCAAAGTAATCCTGGGATATTTTGCAGGAGATCTCTGACTAAAATTCCAAGGTTTCAAACAGATTATCCAGGTCCTAATTAACACCACCAACACAAATTTAGAGAATTCCTTTTAAAGCCGTACACTTCTCACAAACATATTATCAGGGAGCACTGTTGGTCTCTCGGGCACAGAGCATGTTTGAAGTCTGTTCCACTGAGCATCAAGTGCTACTCTGATGGAAGAAAATGAGCATCATCAGTCTTAGTCACTTTGATTATACTTACCGTATACTTTCTAAATCGTTTAATTTTCTGAATCTGTAGATCTTCCAGAAACCACTAATGGAATCTGAGCTGCTAACAGAAAAAGAAGTTGCTATGATTTTTGTTAATTGGAAGGAGCTGATTATGTGCAATATAAAACTACTGAAGTAAGTTTTTTTTCTCCCCCATGCTTAGCTATAACAAAATCATGGCCCTCTCCCCCTGCTTCTCCTTTTAGATGCATGAAAATATTTGCCACTTATGCAAATAGTAACCGAAAGGGCCATGCGTTTTTCCTTGTTGGAAAAAGCAAAATATTGACAATATTTGCTATGACTTATTGTTGCTGTTGAGAAAAATCCAGCAGTTCTTTGCTGAGTATTTGCATTTACTTTGCTCTTGGTGTACATGTGCTCCAGAAGGCAAGATCAACCTCTCCTGAAGAGCAGTGCCTGCCAAGGCTACCCACGGCCCTGTTGTAGACTTTCACTTCCTCTCTCACAGCCCATACCCAGTTCCAGCCCTGTTATCCGTGAATGCAGACCAAGGCACAACAACCTCTGCCTCCCTTATTCTGAGTTAGCTGATGCGTTCCTTTAGTTACTGTAGGTTTATAGCACCTGAACGAGCTGTTTTGTGAGAAGCGGTGCCAACAAAGCCTGGTTTCCTATGGATTTGTGTCCAGTCTACCCCGCACCCTTCCTTCCAAAGTCTCCAGCTACTGCAACCCCAGCTTTCCACCATGAAACTCCATGCAGTGCAAGTACCCTTATTTCTCCCTTCATTTTCTGTGACCTCTGATGGATCCAAGTCCTTCTTACTTGCATCCTTCTCACCTATCCTTGCTGCTTCAGCAAGACCCAGTAAATGCTGTGGCTGGTTTGGAGGCACGTCTACACAGGTTGCTCGTCTGGTCATTGCCAGAGAACCTGAGTGAGGATTGAGTTCAGCCTGCATCTTCATAAGCAAGAGGATTAATAAAGTTCTTTTTTTCCCTACTGAGCTGCTATAACTTTGTCTATCTCCTTCGTATAACTTTGAGATATCTCCTTTTTTGTAAAATGTATTTGAAAATGGCCCACGAGTTGAAAAGTTATGGTGGTGATAGGACAAATGCCGGCAGCTCAATGACAGTAAACCTCCTTTCCTTAGGAAACCGGGCTAAAAACTAGGAGTAGCTTTGAGCTTAAAGTGGTGGTAAGGTTTTTACCCCTCTTACTCTCTTGCTAAACTAATAGAAAAGGAAATTACGTTCCTTTTTATATTGTATCTGATCTGGCATCGCGTTAAGGTAATGTCAAGTAACAGTTTGGTTACCACAAGAGGGAAAAGTGTTGGCTGAGGATGCAATCTTGATTATTGTATTCTTACAATATGTAATAACTCTTGTGGCTGATCTGTTTGTTGTTCAGGGGTCTCTCTGTTTCAGTAATAAATAAGAATCCAATCATTTATTTCATAAATGAAGAATCATTCTTCAGTGGTCTATTTATTAAACACACATGACCTTTTCCTGTTTAGGGCTTTGCGTGTGCGTAAGAAGATGTCTGGAGAGAAGATGCCAGTGAAAATGATTGGTGACATCCTGACAGCTCAGCTGCCACACATGCAGCCTTACATTCGGTTCTGTAGCTGCCAGCTCAATGGGGCAGCGCTCATCCAGCAGAAGACAGATGAAGTCCCTGAGTTCAAGGAGTTTGTTAAAGTAAGAGAAGACGCAATCAACGTGAATTTTGCACACTGTAAATTTAGCTCATCATTTGGCTAATTTGCAAAACGTAGTCTCAAATAGTGCTTTCTGTTGGGCTAGAATGAAGAGTCTTCAGACTTAAGCACTCATTGAAGGAATACATTTTTTCAAACAACTATAGAGCCATAAAATACTTTGTTTAATAATGATTTTGCTGTAAAATGCTGGGACGGTAAGAAGAGACCCTTCTCTTGTACAGGCAAGGCAGATGAAGAGTATGTTGTAAAAAATACGAGAAATTCTACTGCACTGACGTTGTCTGCTAAGAACAGATTTAGCTGAGGCATGGTGTTCATTTGTTGCCTTACCTTTTCCTTTCTTGGAGGAGCTCGTTTTGCAGGGTTTTAAACAAACTGACTAACACCATTTTACCTCTCTAATGTTTCAGAGGTTAGCAATGGATCCTCGCTGTAAAGGAATGCCACTATCAAGTTTTCTACTAAAGCCTATGCAACGGGTAACAAGATACCCACTAATAATTAAAAATGTACGTTCTTTTGCAAAGATGATGTTTTTGATGCCGCTTTGCTTATAGCTTAATTACAGGATAGTTTCCCTATTTGTGTCAAGCTTTGTCACTGTTAGATATCTGATGTGCTAGGGAATGTGGTGTATCCTGTTCTATTTGATCACACTAGAGAAAATGCAGTAACTCATTTGGCTTCAGCCAAATGTATTTCCATTAGAAACAGCGGTGAAACTTGCATGCAAAGAACCAGAAGGCAGTAAAGGCTGAATGAAAACTTTAAAATTCAGATGGCAGGAATAACGGGTCAGTCTTATGCTCATCTTTGCCTTTTTCCACAGTGGAATTCCCTCCCTATAGTCTGGTAAATGACATTCAGTGTGCAAAGCCTGAATGCCAAATTGTTGCAAGTTACCTTACATTGCTGGATGACTTACAGCCCTTTCCTAACCTTCATCTGTTGCCTAACGCTTACTACCCTGAATAATGCTCTTGAACTTGGCCCAAGACTTTCACAGAAAAGAATTATAACTTGGATGTTGGCATTTAAGAGATTCCTTAAGCAGCCATGGGTATATTTCTGTATATGGCTGGAATTTGTGTCCTTATGTCAGAAGAGTGAGCAGTGTACTGATGCAAAGGCTCTGCAGGCAGGCATTTGTTTCAGCTGTTCACAAAGAGACTGTGAGTTTGTCTCCTATTTTTCATGTTTGTCAAGGATGAAAAGAAATTTGGAACATACTGCCTGGCTCTGATGAAAATAAAGAAATAAAACAGAAATCTAGGGCTGACAATATGAATGCATTTTAACTGCAGATAACAGCAAAGGCTCATGTATTTTATTTATCCGTAGATAATAGAAAACACTCCTGAAAACCACCCTGACCACAGTCACTTGAAGCATGCTCTTGAGAAAGCAGAAGAATTATGTTCTCAAGTAAATGAAGGCGTGCGGGAGAAGGAAAATTCAGATAGGCTGGAGTGGATCCAGGCTCACGTTCAGTGTGAAGGCCTGTCGGAGGTAAACAAAGTGCTCTCTTGAGTAACGCAAATGTGGGCACACTTCTGCACTGGTTGGGAAGAAACCATGGTTCACTTATGGCACTGCATCAGGGGACAAACAGTGTAATTAATCAAGTCGTATAATCTTCAGTCCTTTGATTTCGTCTTTCTTTGGCTCCCTTTCACTCCTGCACGCGATCCTTTTTGCTGCTGGTGTTATTGCCTTCTCTATGAGAAATGCTGCTTTTGTTGCCTGGCTCCAGACTAGTCCCGGGTTCAATGCAGGAATTTTCAACCATAACTTTGCGGTTTCATAGCTCTTTGTGGTTATTGTACTGCTGTATCTCATCCTGAAGCTATACCTGACCATCCTGGAGGGCTTTAAAACTCATCACAGGAAATATTTTTTGTGATAAAACTTTGTGTACATTTTGAAAACTCAAGAATACTGATCAAGTGTCTCTCAAGACTTTACAGAGAGAATCCCTGCCTCCCATTACGTATTCTTTTTTAAGGTAACATGCTAAGTTTCTCTACTGAAACTATAATGAAAATATTGTGCCGGTATGTCCTGCAAAAGGATGGAGGGTATTTCGATGGCCTCCCTTCTATTGGTGAAGATACTAGAGGCAGACAGATCACAACTTGATTTTCAAAGTATGCATTGAGTTTTCAGTTCTAGAAGATAAAAAAATAATAAGCATTTGCTGGTTCATAAACTGGAAAAAATTGCATTTCATCTTACGAAATCTAACTGTTTCAGGGTAAAGACATGTATGACAGTGTCAGAAGGGTCAAAGATACATGCAGCTGTCTTACAACTACTGCCTGAAGGAAAATGGCTGCTTTTCTCTTCCATACATGATGTCTGGCCCTAGAACACCAAAAAATATTACCTGAAAGACCACCCGGCTGCTTGCTGACGCAGTAATGCCGGTAACAGCAGCCCTTGAATCTGTGGCAAGGAGCAATCCAGACTTCCCCTCAGTTTTCTGTCTGAGATGTTTCTAATCTGTAAAAGGAGCCACTCCAAATCTAGCTGCCCGGCCAACTGGGATGGCAAGAACTGTACCATCACCTAGTGAAAATAAACCTGAAACCGACACTTTAGGAAGGGGCAAGCCTCTACTCCTCTGGTCGCAACCTCCAGATGAGTCTTAAACTCCGCCAGTTCCAGCCAGTGGTCAGCAGCTGCCCTCTAACTCCAGATATCGTGGGTGCACAAAGACAGACTATCTGGAATTCCTTTCGTATGATTTAATGGGTGAAATTCAAACACAGTTCAGAAATCCAGGCCTCGTTAAGAAAGCTCAGTGTTTGGAGAGGCCATTTGCATAGCTACTGCTAATCCAGGACAAGTCGTCATCAGCTCGGTTCCACTCACAGAGATGCATGCGTGTGGCAGAGAAACTCGAAAGGAGGCACAAATGCTTTTGGCTTCTCTCTGACTGTCCAGGCCATGCCCCGTGCAACTGTTGGGCTGCCCTACAGTTAATTTTCATGTAGTTTTTCTATGACTTGCACTGCTTATCATGCTCAAGGCAGAGACATTGCTCGTCATCCCTGTGACACAAATTGAAACCAATGTCAGGACTCAAAACTGTATTTGATCTCTTTCAGGGGAACCTCGATTGTTTTACTTTATACAGTGCGTTGTTGTTCTTCTTCTACTTTTCGCAGCAACTCGTATTTAATTCTGTTACAAACTGCTTGGGACCACGAAAGTTTCTGCACAGTGGAAAACTTTATAAAGCCAAGAGTAACAAGGAACTGTATGGCTTTCTGTTCAACGATTTCCTCCTCCTAACTCAGATCATAAAACCTCTTGGCTCTTCTGGCACAGACAAGGTCTTCAGCCCCAAGTCTAATCTGCAGTACAAAATGTACAAAACTGTAAGTACCACTTTTATATGGTGACTGAGACGGTTATACGCTAACGGTGCCTATAGCAGGCAGCAGCTCCCATACTGGATATGTGGGCAATAACCTTTATATAGAAGAGGTTTGAAAACTTTGGCGTATGCTGAGGATTCCAGGGACTGATGGTGAGAAAGCTGGTTGTTTGCTTTAGCAAGATAAGAAAACATGCTTTTGAAGTTTTGCTAAAACAACCTCTTCAACAAGATGTCCCGTGTATCAGGGAGTGATGGGGAGAGGAGTGTTTGTGTGCTTGGTGGGAAAGGAGAGATGGCTGTGCTTCGTGAGGCTGCTTGCTTACTTCAGGAGAAGTGTTCCCAGGGTCTGGAGGCACCTATATCTTTGATAATAAGAAAATTTTTTAAAATGACGTATCTGAAGAAAGACGGGAGGCAGGCAGAAGGGGAAAGATACTTCAGGCACAAGATAAATCTGTTGTAAATTGCTCTGTGTTGAATGCATCTGTTTGGATATTGTGTGGTAGAACTCTAGCTTTGCCTAATGTTTTACAGCCCATTTTTCTCAATGAGGTACTAGTAAAATTGCCCACAGACCCTTCTGGAGATGAGCCCATCTTCCACATCTCCCACATTGATAGAGTCTATACGCTCCGGGCTGAAAGCATTAATGAAAGGTAAGTACCTGCATAGGTCATGTTAGTACTGAATTTGAAAAGTCTGGTGCAAATGTAGATGATGGTGTATATGATATACACATGCATAGCAGTCTCCAAGCAGTTTTATCTTACAAGACTGGAGAATTCCTTCCGCTGGGGAATACGGTGATACTCAATATATGAAAAGGAGGGAGAAATAACGATGTTTCCTGAATTCCGATAAGACCGACAGTGAAATGGCTGGGAGGGCTGATACATAGGCCATATTTCACAACATTTTGTGTTAGCATAAGGAAGCCAAAAGAGGCAATCCTGTCATCTTCTGCTAACATCTCTTTGTTTGTGCCAGTGCAAGCATTTGTATGGCTGTATGTTGAATGAGATTGAGGAAAAGGTCAAAATGAGAACTTGAAGCAAAACGCTACCAAACTAAACCCCGTTAGGATTAATCTGGTTGAGTTCAGGCTGAAACAGTCAAAGGAATGGCAACCTCAAAACCTCAGCTGGTGATTTTTATCTCTGGGAGGCTTAGTGAGACAGGACTACACTGATGTGTACTGAAAAGGTTTCTTGTCACAAATGTAAGGTCTTGAAAGATAACTTTTGTTAAAATGAAAGCTGGAAGTGCAGCAACCTCCTCCCCTATAGTATAGACGTTGTGTTACGCCAGCTTGCAAATGTGTGGCCCGTAAAAATTCTGATGCATAAAACTGTATAAAACATCTCTGCTCCCTGTCTGCTTGACAGTGTTATTCATTATTATTTATACAGATAGTTTTTCTTGCAAAGATCATACTTTTATGGATCCCATTTGTCCTTTGGAATGCTGTCTGGCCCTCTGTGCCACAGAATGAATGAGCACCGTGGTTAGATCCTTGGTGATGAAACCTGCCACAGCCTTTTCAACTTGGAATCTGTTACACAAATTAGACATTAGCAATAATCATCTGTTCTGCATCAGAGCACTCACCGCTGTTGGCAGAAACATCTAAAACCTGCAGGCATTCATCCTACCTAGCTCAAGGAACTTCTGCGAGACGCTTAGGCACGCTCTGTTGAACCATCAGTGGAAGGAGCCAGACCATACTGAATGCTCTGTGAGGTGCCTGCCTCTCTCCCTTTGCTATAGAGAGAACCCCCAGGAACTGCTATCCAGATTTGGGTGCTCTAATTACACGCCTTTACTTATATGGGATTTTTCATGCCTTTGATTTTCTTTTATGCCAGAATTGCTTACTAAATAAATGCAGCATTTTAGGTGAGATACCTCCAGGTTCTCATCATTGACTTGCTTTTAACAAAGAGCAATAGAAATAAAACATCAGCATCAATGAGTGATTAATTTGCCCATTTAATCTTAAAAGACCTTTATGATCAAAGGCTTGGTCTGCTTCTGAAGCTGCCGTTTACCATTTAGGGCTGAGCTGGAAGACAGAATTGTCCTTAAGTGTTTTGTTTTCCTGAACAGCTCTCTGTGCAGAATACAGGTGAGTGTTCAGACCCAAATCCAGGCCAGTGTGAGTAGCTGCATTGCCCTGTAGAGCAGCAGCTCTTCATTTTGGGATCAGAAATGGATCCACAACTTCTAGATTCTCCCATTGACCTTGACTCAGCTCTCAGGCTTCTTTGTATGTCACAGCAATTCTTCTAAACCCTTGAGGTCTCTTGGTAGCCTTTCTTCCATGCTTTTTCTCTCTGTCAGTCTTTCCACTCAGTCTCTTAAGTACGAAATGATTTCCGAGAAGAGTCCGTAGGGAACCATGATCATTCATCATCCGTGTACTCCCCGAGTTACGCTTTGTGTGTCCCAAGGCTCAGAAGAATTTTGGTATGAAACCTCAGGGGTCAAGAAAAGTGGGCACCTCTGCAACATAGCTGCCTTATGTCTACTGGCTACAAGCAGTTAGTTTAATACAATAAAGCAAAAAGCTTGGTGAAAGCAAACCTGTTATCTGTACTTTTTGGTTTCTCACCAAGTCCCTCCTGCTTGTAATTACAGAATCACAGAATCGCAGAATCAGTTTGGTTTGAAGAGACCTCTGGGATCATCGAGTCCAACCTTTGCCCTAACACCACCGTGTCAACTAGACCATGGCACTAAGTGCCACGTCCAGGCTTTTCTTAAACCCCTCCAGGGATGGTGACTCCACCACCTCCCTGGGCAGCCCATCCCAATGCCCAACGACCCTTTCTGTGAAGAAATGCCTCCTCATTTCTAGCCTGAACTTCCCCTGGCGCAGTTTCAGACTGTGCCCTCTTGTACCATCATGAGTTGCCTGGGACAAGAGGCTGATTCCAGGTTCTCTTGAGCTTTCTTAGTGTGGTGGGATCAGCTAGCCTAGGATGGTTAAATTTCTGCAGGTGCTATAAATTCCAGTAAGATCTTTTGCAGGCAGACAGCTTCAGCGCAGCAGAGCCTGTGATGGGGCCAGAGCCTTGGTTGGGAAGGAGGGACAGCTTTACTTTTGTCTGCTGTGCTCCAGGGAGGAAAAACAGAAATGGTATTTTGCAGCTTTTCTTTTCCTTTCATTCTGAAGGACTGCCTGGGTTCAGAAGATCAAAGCCGCTTCAGAACTTTACATAGAGACTGAAAAGAAGAAGAGAGAAAAGGCCTACTTAGGTACAGCATGGGATGTGGGGGTCTCATCTTTTGTGGAAAAGGCCACGGGCAGGAAAATACATTACTGACTTTTGTCTCTCCTCTTCTGTTTCGGCACAGTTCGCTCGCAAAGAGCAACAGGCATTGGGAGGTTGATGGTGAATATTGTTGAAGGCATTGAACTAAAACCTTGCAGGTCCCATGGTAAGTGCCTTGGGTTTTCCGTAACATGCTCTACGAAGGAGACATTCCTGTTTGTCACACTAACTTTGAAGAAGGTTCTGTCCAAATCATGGTTTTGTTAAATGAAATGGTTTTAATGAACTTAAACAGAAGTGATTTTGTGCAGTTCAGTAGTAGCTGTGCAGTTCAGTAGTAGTCATGCAGTTGTCCTGCATTAAGCATTTGTTTCAGACAAACTTAGTTTCCACCACATAAGCCGTATCATAAGAGATCATAAGCCACAAAGTTCTGAAATGAAGAGTGGAAGGTGCTGAGCACCTTGCAGACCTGTGTCCCTGTTCACTATAATGGCAGTGAGGCCCCAGTCTTTGCTCCGTCCGTTGGTTGTGGGAGTGAAAGGATATTTAGGATCACACACCTAAAAATGCGATTACTCTTTTCTGTTTGTTTCCATCTTCCCAGGAAAGAGTAACCCCTACTGTGAGGTGACAATGGGCTCTCAGTGCCACATTACCAAGACGATACAGGACACCCTCAACCCAAAGTGGAACTCCAACTGCCAGTTCTTTATCAAAGACCTCGAGCAGGACGTGCTCTGCATTACGGTGTTCGAGAGGGACCAGTTCTCCCCAGATGGTACGTACTGGGCTGCCGCCCTTCCAAGGATATTTTCAAATCTCCCATTTTGAAGAGGGGCAGGCCTGCTGAGGTAAATCATAGAACCAGAGAATGGTTTGGGTTGGAAGGGACCTTTAGAGATCATCTAGTTCCAACCCCAATACTGACCCCCTTTTCATATTGGGAGCCTACTCACCCTTGCTTCCCAGTGGAGTTATGCTCATATCAGCATAAAAAGAATCAAGCTCGCTCTGTTTTTTGGGGGGTTTCCTTTCTTGTGCAACCTCACAACAACAAAAGCATGGTTTGCAATTCTGCTAAGTCTTTAAAAAACTCTGGATGCTGTTTGCAAATGGATAGATTCATGCAGGAGGAAGAGAAATGTCTTCAAGTTCCTGTAACATGCAGTAACAGTGGCAGACATGAACCCAGAATTCCTAACCCATTCTTATTTCATAACCTGGGACAAACGTATAGAGCATTGAAGAGTGTATTTTGGAGTCATAATCTCTCAGGAAGTATTTGGATAGGACTGTCATTCACGTGGCCAGCACCAGCTGGCCCACTGACCTCGTCGCTGGTGTGATGCACTGCTTGGCTCTGTCATCTCCAGAGGGCTTCACACGCAGCTTGAACTGTGCAGCGGCCTTTGACTGTTTTTCTAACATATCATAAAATAAATAAGCTACTGAAGCAAGGCAGCTGTGAGTTACATAGTGGATTTTTCCGCTTATGGGACCATTTACTTGTAATGCTGCTGCTGTCTAATACGGTCTGGCTAAAATCCTCTTCTGTGCAGACTGGCAGCCTTTGGCCTTCTTCAGCTGCAAAAATATAGTTGGGCTGGAGACTTGTTTTCTCCTTTTGCTGTGTGTAGATGGAAGCTTAGTTCCTTCTGCTAATTAGCATTTCATTGCAACGTAAAACAGTTGTGTCATTTCTTAGCGTGCTGTCTTTTTGCATTTCAGACTTTTTGGGCAGAACAGAGATCCGTGTGGCAGACATTAAGAAGGATCAGGGTTCAAAGGGACCAGTTACAAAGTGTCTCCTTCTGCATGAAGTCCCAACAGGAGAGATAGTCGTCCGACTAGACCTGCAATTGTTCGATGAGCCTTAGAAGGAAAGGGACCAGTGTTTTCTTTCAGTCTGAGTTCACTGCAATAGATGTCTGCGGAAGCTGTCACAAAGTCCTTACCGGTGTGGTATGAAACTACTGCTTGCCCTTCACACGTAAGAGGGTTATCAAAGCAAACAGGAGCATCTTTGTGCCTTGATAATTCTCACTGAAAAATGAATCCCAATTTAGTGAGGAGATCTCCTGCCATTTCTCTATGTGGAACTTGACGTTAGTTTCCTGGGTTTATGAAATAACCTAGTTGTTCGTTGTGCTCCAGTCTGAAAGGCTGGCAAACCACATAGGTTGCTGTGCTTGCTCCAGTTACCCTGCTCTTTAATGTACACGAAGGCGGCAATGTTGGTACGTTTTGGAGGCTTTCTGCAGGGTTTTCCCCCTTAAGGAATTCTGTGCCTATTGCTCAGCAAAATGGTGTGTAAATGTAATGTGAACGGAAGGAGCAGTTACGCAGTAAGAAGATCTTTGAAGATCTTCATGATGGTACTGAAAAGACTTAGAAAATAAATAGTCTATATCTATAAACAGAGAAGATTCTATTAACATACCACTTCATGACTCGCGTTGCCCCTGAAAATAAATTATGTACAGGCCTCCTGCACAGGTATGAATTGCACTCCAGAAGAGTCCGCCCACTCAGTACCTTTGGAAGCTGCTGTTTTCTATAGGACTCTTAAATGTTCAAACAGTAAGCGAGGGATTAAACATAGAGCCCTGCTGTATGTTGCGCTGTACCGCTTCGATACTCCTTCACTACTGCTGCTTGGTTGCGTGACCGCAGATGGATGATCTGTCACCTGCAGCGGGGAAGAAAAAAAATAAATAAATCACGGCTTTAGCTCAGGAAGCTAATTTCTACCCTGCAGAGTCTAGTTTGTGAAGCGATCAGTGGTGACCGGTTATGGAATTGTACCGTGCCTAACTGCGTTTGACACGGGGTTACTGAATTCAGGGCAGCAGCGTGCTGTAGCTCCCAAAGGCGTTTGCGGCAAGCCGCGGTGATGGCAGGTTCGGTGGCAGCGATCCTGGGTGTGATCGGAAACAGAATGCTTGTGATGGTGCAGAGTGGGTAACCCCAAAGTAAAAGCCTTGTTATCTGGGGGAATGCCAGGGCTTATAGATCCATTTGACTCTACAAATACACACATAAAGGCCCACATCCAGCAAACTTTCCCTGTTTGGCAAAGCACCCAGCTTGAAGCGTGCACTTAGATCTTGTTTCCCTCAAGCACACACGTAGGTGCTTGGCTGAATCTGGACTCAAGAGAGAATAGACCCCGAAGAGTAAAATTCCTCTTTGTTCTGCTTGGATTCATTTTGTTCATGACCTATCATGCATACACTGGTATTTTTGTAAGGACTTTCTTTTTGAATGGGAGGTGTCAGCCTGTTCCATTAGCATGTGAACGTTCTCGTGGAGCCTGTTGTTAGGTTTTGGTGTTCCTTGCATGTCCTTTCAGTACTGGTTTCCACCTTTCCTGTATAGGCGGTGTTCTCTAGCACTACAAGTCTTATTGATTTCCATTAGGAAATTAGGATATATTCATAACGGCTAGGTAGATACAGTATGGTAATAAGTGTAAACTGTGCTGGGAAGTGTCTGTGTATTATAATTTCCTAAAAGACCACTGTAATGTTTCAAGCAATGGGAAAAAAAAAAAAATGTATGTTGGAGGGACAACAAAGTTTACATTTCATACTTTTCAGAATCGCTTTATTATTTATTTATTGAAGATAGTGTAGAATTTTGTATCAGAAATGACAGACATACTTATGTATTTTTTGAAACAAAACAGAGATACACACTTTAGTTAGAAACTTTCAATTGACCACATTTTAGAGGGAGTGTAACTTCCTAGGCATGCATTTGTTTACCACTAACTGGCTGAAAACACAATTAAGAGAACTTTAAGTTTCTATTTTTCGATGTTGTTAAGAAAATTGTTTCAATTGAAATATGTAAATAGTACTAAACCCATGCTTTCCTAATTCCATATCAATACATTTTATTAAATATAATGTATATGAAAATACACATTGTTGTGGTAGGATAAAAAAAAGTGATAAAATCTATTAATGGAGTAACATTAAATGTCATTGTCTAACCTTTTATCGCTGTCCTAATTTTACTCAGTAGCTTTAAATACGGTGAAAGTTCATTTCAGTGTTTAAAAGGTAGCATCACTTTTTTATGGTATCATTTCACCAGCACGAATTACAGTAACAGCTAAATAGACAAACAAGACAAACAAGATGTTGGGTTTGATGCAGAAACCCTGGCCAGATTTTTTGAAGGGAGCCTCAAGGAGCTGCACCTTCCTCTGAGACTGAGCTGGTGTTGGAAGTGGGGGACCCATAGCCACAGGGGCTCCTCTCGGATTGCGACCCTTCTCACGGGCATGTCTGAGTGCACTGTTTTGGGGAATTGTAACAGAACTGAGCACCTTCCCAACCACTGTCACTTGTGATTTCCCACTTACCCTCCATGCACAGCAATGTTTAACTCCCATTCATGTCAAAAGGAGTTACACAAACATGATGATGATGAAGGGCTGGGGTTCGGCTCACAGATATCTAATGAATCCCTCATAATTGGTCTAAACCTAAAGAGGAAGCTTGTCTTAATCCCTGTGTGTTGAGGACAGAATCTATATATATACCCTTAGAGCCAGCCGACTGTGCATCGGGATGTCGCTGTTTTCTCGCTCGCCCTCAGTACTCTGTAGCGTATCATCGGCACCGTTGGCATCCCAGACAGAACGGCTTTTCTCCGTGGTTAGCCAAAGGTTCTTAGAAACCCATTGACTCCTGCCTGGTTTTCCCTGTTCAGGAATGCTACGGTCTTGCACATCACTTTGCGTTAATTCCGTGCTGCGCAGGCTATAGCTTCGGCTTTTCTGCCCACTGTAGCTGCATAGCCCTCCAGCTCACCCAGGACTTCATGCTGTAGATCCTCAGGCCTTTTACTGGAAAAAGCGAGCCTCATTCATGAGCTGTATTCCTACTAGTGCTGTCAGAGAGAAAACTGCAAGCTCTCCTAGGCTTGTTTAAATACCACTTGGGTTCTGAAGAGCTTGGGGAGGGGAGAGGCATCCAGCAATACCTCGGTAGTTAGGTATCGCTTCGTGTATTTAGAAAGTCAGCTGGCGTTACCAAAGGGTACGAAGGTTGAGCCATCCTCTTACGAGTGCCACGTGCCGGCTGTCAGGCCAAACTCTGCTGGTCTGTGCTACCGGTACTGAATACCGATACTTACCCTATTTTTCAGATGCTGGTTATTGATCTCTGAATATGTTCATAAAATAGCACACCTTAGCTCACAGGTCCCTTTCCAGCCCCCTCAAGATGTGTATAAACTTTTGCTGATGTCATGCAAAACAACCACAACAAAAGTCGAAGCCCAGATAATACTCAGTCACATTTTGGATTGAAAGAGCAGAGCCATGCAGATAAGCGTCCCCACTAAAACACAGAGGTTGTAAAGCTGCGTATTGTGGAGTTCTGGGGCTGGCTGCGTTTGCTTTGGTAAAAAGTCATCCTTGTAGAGAAGCTGAGTGCAAGGTCTCTCTCTTACTCATCCTTAAAATAAGGCACCAGTGAGATCAAACTGGTACATGGGCCGCTGGGACTGGCCCTTAAGATGGGATTTCACTGACACCTTTTAGCAGGATCTACTTTTTTTTGAGAAGACATTTTGCTTAGAAGTAATTCTTCAGCATCAAACTCCTTGGCTGGCAATCAAGCCTTTCTAAAAACAATACTATGACTTTTTAATGCATTCACTGCCTTCATTGAAACAGTGGTCTTGCTTTGGCGAAACTGGGAGAAAAAAAAGCCCTGAGAGAAGAAAGAGCAAAATCTGCAGCTGTGAGAAAACATGCAATGGGAAAAGTTGCACTGGTAGTTTGGTTTCCAAGCTGTAATTCTGGAAATGTCAGTTTTTCCCTTAGGTACATTAATCTAAACAAGGAGAATAGTGTTTGTTTGTCCCTCGTGCTTCCTTGGTTTTAAGTCTTGTAGTAGGACTAAGTTAATGGGTCAGAAACTGGAAGGGCACACCACCACTTTTAGACATTATTAAAATGACTTTTGAAAGATGCTGGGAGTGGGCAGAATGTCAATGTTGTTGTGGCTGCAGACAGGACAGGGTACTGAAAGAGCATGGAAAGGAATCTTTTCTTCTTTCCTTTCTTGTTTTGGGGGGGAGCGATGGTTAGTTTAAAATCAGATCCACAGTCTCACAGCAGAACTTCAATTATCCACGACCCCAAGCATCCATAACACAACAACAGTGATTAATAGCAAACCACGAGTTTGTCCTCAGCCTGGGAGAGCCACACTGGATTTAGTGCAGCTCTGTATTTGTGCAGGAGTTTGCACGCCCTCTTTTATAGAAGCGGTGCTTTTCGGTGTCTGTAACAGCCCTTATACTCCTCTTTCCAGGAATGACCTTCCGAGATAGATACACCCCTGAGGTGCTCAGGCCCTGTCTTGTTTCAGGGTGCTTTCACAAGGACTTCGTAGGCTCGTAACCATTGCTGTCAGGCTCTTTGCTCTCCTGGGGCCATCCAGGCGGCTCCCACGACCATCCAGGAGGTACACGGGTACGTGCCCTTTCCGTACGGGCAATCGGCCACGCCACCGTCAATGTGCCGGTTTTCTGTCTCTCACAGGACTTGTTCCCCCAGCCTAAAGTCGTGTGAGGTATCAGCCAGTAATGTCATTATACGGCGGCAGGGTGGATGCCTGTCCTTTCGTCCGTATCCCTCCCCATTTAGGACCTTATCATCATTCCTCTGATCGCAGTCAGAATCAGCCCCGTTGTGTCGACCCGCCTCAGGAGCATTTTCTCCCTGTGGACAGGAGTCAGCCCTTCAGAGATGTCTCTCAGGGAAACCACCTGAGCATATTTTCCTCTGCACTTGGTCTAATGGAGCTGGAAGTCACGACGGCCGGGGCAGGTTCAGCTCTCCCCACGGTCAGGGCTCCAGCCTGAGCACCTGTCTGTGCTGTCCTGCCCAGCAGTGCCGGGCTGTGAGCGCCCGCTGCCCACGCTGCCAGCCCGTAGCCTCCGGTTCATTGCCGTTCAGGTTGAGGCCCTTGTTTGAGATCGCCCAGGTCCCATCCCGGTCCTGATTTTCCCCACCTGCCGAGCCTGCAGGCTCTGTCACAGCCAAACACAACTGCGTTGCACGAACGAATGCAGCGGGTGACTGGAAAACACATCTCACCGCCTTGCTCGTTGTGCTCCCACTAGGTTTTTCTTCTGTGAGTAAAAACTGGTGCTTCTGTCCTGTCATTAAGCGAGTCCTTTGGAAAGCATTGCTCTTCCCTTGCCTTTAACCCCAGCTCCCAAAGCTCCCCCGTGTGAAACGGTGCTGGTTTAGGGACTCCTTTCCAGGCTTCTCCCTCACAGCTCATCTGGCAGCTGCCATCTCTGCCGCAGTCCCTGGCTCAGCAAAGCGCTTCAGCAGATGCTGAACTTCAATTCGTGTCCAAATTGAACGCAAAGACGTATGAAAAGCCAGCCGGGCGCCTGCGTGCTTTGCTGGGGACGCATGGAGGAATTTAAAGGGCTTTCATAATGTAGAGCCTACATTATGAAGATGGTTCCAGCTCTGTAAGGACTGGAAGATTGGAATAAAGCGTCAAACAAAAAGTCAAGATTAAGATAAAATCGAGAAGTGGTTTATAGTCTTTGCAGCTGGATCTGTTTTCTTCCTTATCTTCCCCAAAGTGGTTTTAGCCACTAAACTCACCAGAATTGTATTTACTGGGCAAATTGTAATTCTTATACTTACAGATCACAACGCATTTGGAAGCACTGTAAAATAAAAACCCGCTAGGCTGACCTTGGCCTTGGAAATACCAAGTACCTCGCTGAGTATAGTGCTGGTAGAAAGCTGGCTTGTAAAGTCCTGAGAGGTTGCACGCAGCTGGTGAATTGACTTGGGCACCTTGAAAGACAGAGCATCTCGCCGAGCTGACACTAAGCCAAATAACTGATAAATTACAGAACATAGGTGCACTTAATTATTACATGTTTTCTCAACATGAGTTTTTTTATGAGGAAACTTTTTAAATGTTCATTTTACAATTTTTTAACCCTTTGAAAAGAAAGAACTCACTTTTTGTTACATCGGTAGGGTTGGGGGGGGGAAACGTGGATAATGCAGTTTTTGTAATATTATTAAATACATTTTTTAAAACTCAGATGTGACAAGTCCAGACTTCCACTGCAACAGTGGTGCCTAGTTTCGTACTGCTCTGCTTGCCACTGTGATCTATCAGTTTATTCAAATCCAGCAGTCAAAATCCTTGAACCACAGAAAAACTGGGAATCAGGTCAAATCACACCTTAGCTTTGAGGGGTTTGCTCTGTACATACATTCCACGCGTATCCGGGCATTTGTTTAGCCCCAACACTCTTGTCCTACATACATATCGATGTATCTATAGTTAAATACATGCTTTTTTTTTATATATATATATATGATGATGTGTATATAGAATATAAAACATAGCTATGTTGTTGTTGTTGTTGTCAAACACTGAGTAAATCTAACAGAAAAGCATTTATAGGCACCCAGTTTTGTTTGTTCATTTAAATATTTTAAAATAAGGACCGTCCTTGGGAAATTATTTTTCTGTACATCAGAGGATATATTTAGGACCTAATTTAAAAAAATAAAGAATTGCAGTAAGAAGACGTTAAACTAGTCTAGTTGCTTGATATAATTGTCAAAGGCTCTGCTGCGACCGTAGGTGAATTCCTTGTGCTGTTTGTAAAGCTGCGAAAGTGTCACTAAGCCTGGATTTAGCGGTCGGTTCTGGGATGTTCAAGAGTCGTGGAAGTGAAGGGAGCTGGTGCTTCCTCCGAGAGCTCTGTCAGCCCCCCAGGCAGCAGCTTCTCCCCGTGTGTCCATCGGGTGATGGATTGGAAGGGAAATCCCACCCAGCTGTGTGGCTGCTCCATGGGAAGGGTCTCGTGGCGTAACCCATTCTCGCCAGGCGGAAGAGGGAAGGTTGGGTGCCGGACCAACTTGCTGCCCCCGCTCTCGCTCCCTCTTGCCCCATCTCACCACATCTTTCGGGGTTTGCACCACCACTCACCCCAGGACAAGCTGCTTTTGGGGTGACTCAAAAGGTCACACCAGTGCGGAGAGACCTGCACCAACCCTCCTGCCCCACACGCATCCGTTCCACCTAGGCGAGACCCATCGCAAGCTGCCGCCATGGGTACGTGCTTCCCCCTCGACCCCCCCATGCCAAGACAACCCCTGCCCCACAGCAAAAAGGCAAAGCCAAAGCCGCCGTGGGGTGGGCTGTCCCGCAAGGCTTTGGCTTTTTTCACAGCTTGTGCAGAATTACCCTGGACCAGGCCTCCAGTTGCTGAAAAGGAATTTAGATTCCGGCAGCCTTTGCAGACTCTGTAATGGGTACTTTCTACTTTGTGTTGGGAAAAAAAAGATAACTGTAGTATTTTTTTCAATGTTAATACTTAGAATTGGGGAATTCCCCTCCCTGCTGATGGTGGTGTTACTTTTTAGTGCACTTTTTGCTGCCAAACAAATGGTATCAATTAGTTTCTTTGGTTTTGGTTTTTTTTCCCCCCCTTAAAAAAGGAAGGATTGTACTGTCTGTAGTATTCACATGATCCCCAAAATTACAAAGGCATTATAAAATAAGATCTGGCCAAATAGGAGAAAAAGTTACTTTTTTTTTTTCAGAGAAAATGGAATTAATTTGTATTGTTCATTTACATCATCTCTAACTATTCTACAGTAAAACGTTCATACTGTGAAGTTGGCTTCTTTTGTTTTTTTAAAGCATTCATAATAGATATAATGAATAATTATGAATCAGAGCGCACTGTTTCTCATAAGACAATTTCAGCTGTACTTTGGTTGCTGTGAATGTCTTGTTTCCTCAACCGCACTTGGTTAAATAATTCTATTTACAGACAAGGTCCAATTAAGCAAAAGTCCTTAAAATGCGTTCACCTGTTTGAGGAATTGTGCCGCTTCCCAGACTGCAGTCACTGAGGTGGAAACTGCCCGTATGGTTTTAGGCTGCGCAGTTTGTTTGACACAGATGAGACTGTAGTTGTGCAAGTGAAATTATGCAAGAATTAAACCAGGTTGTTTTTTTTTTAAAGTTCAACTGCGTACTGTTACATTCTTGAGAAGCACTGAAGAAGAGCGTTATGGTGTCAGATGCATTAAGCAAATCTTCAGATGAGTATTTTTGACAAAAGGACTATGTAGGTATAAGCAAAGGGAAATAACTTACTAGCAGTTAATGTCTGACACGTGCCACTTTTCATCTCTGTAACGCATTGATTGCATTTTTTTCAGATTTGAAAATTGAGAGTTGACCAAATTGGCAGTAAGAAAGACAGCAAAAATAAATTATCAAAAAAGATTAAAAAACCACCCATGCCCCCCCCCCCAAAAAAAAAAAAACCAAAAACCAAAGGCACTTGCTTAACAGGTGCCATTACTTTGTGCGTATTACGACTTTACACAGGCCCCACTTTGTGGCCAGGCACGCCAGCGGCAGCGTTTATGCAGCTTGTCAGCCACCGCCCATGGCTCTGCTGCCTGAGAATATAGCAAGCTCCATGTGGATCTCTAATTTCTGTTAATCCCCTAATTTTTGTTAATAATTACTGAATTCGGCCAGCTGCCCAGAGGGCAATATCCTCAGTATTCTATTAAGCAGTGGATCCCTTTGTCTGGCTTAGCCCCTAACACCTGCACCTTGAGGATGTGTTGTGTTTTTTTTTTTTTCCCCACGGCCATTTTGGGGCTGGGTTGGCACAACCGGACAGCACCGTAGCCCAAGCGCCGGTTTGTAAATCACAGCTGCTGTAGTGGTGGCTGAGATGGGATGCATCAAGAAGCTCACCAGCTCTTTGGGCTTGCTTTGTCCAGGCCATGTTAATCCAGCTGGGCAGGGGCCAGCACCTCCGCTGCACAGCACCGAGCTCTGGAAAGCTGCGTTGCCTCAGGTACGGCTCGATGCACCTCACGGCTGCTGTGGAGCGGCACCGGGAGTGGGAAGCAAGGTGCAGGAGGCTCCTTTCGGCCACCCGCTGCCCGCCCAGCCTGCCCTTCTCCCATGGCTGCAGGCTTCCAGCAACCCTCCTGGCCCTGCCTCTGAGCCTCCTGAGGGGCCCAAGCACCAGCCACCCTCATCACTGACCCCTCAAGCTTCAGGGCTCCCCCTCGAGCCCGGCACAAGCCTACCCTGCTGCTCCCACCGCCCCGCGATGGAGCGCCCCGTGAGCACAGCCTTTACTTTTCCTGCAGCCCCTCCGGGTGGGATGGAAAGCCCAGCAGCCCTGGGCTGGCCCTGCTGGGGAATGCACCGCCAGCGTGAAGGTACCAGTGAAAGCACAGGGCCAAATTGTCTCTCGCCTGCAGGGACTGCTTCTTTTTATTAAAAATATTCTAAAAAACAGAACAAAACAAAAAAAACCCCAAACACTAACAAACCAGAATGGGGCTTGTTAACAGGTTTCAATAATGCTACTGAAATGAGCTACTGGTACCAGTTCAACATCCCACCCCCATGAGAATGGTATCCATCCAAAATTCAGTCAAACATCAGTTCTTGACCAAGGACCAACAAGGAGACACCGGCAGTTTACACTCCTTCACAGGCCTGGTGAAGATTATCGAAACAGAAAACAGAGGCACAGCACTTCAAGACAGAAACTGGACACTTAGAAATCCGTGTCCAAACGTTAACCGGGAAGCACCTACAGCTGGTCATGACCCCACCACCTCAGCGCTCGCTAGTCATGAACCCATCCTGCTGCAAACATTTTCGTACGTAGTTTTTAGTTAAACACCTTAGCCTCTCACTAGCAAGCTTTTAGAGGGCAATTTTAGTTTAAGGCATATACAAAACTCTCTCCAACGATACAGACATGGAAGTAAACTGGGCCCGTTAGAGTGTTTGCTGCTGAGAACACACTGACGACATGACTGCGTTACCAGCCACTCTTATACTTCTGAGAGCATCTACCCGTCACGGTTCCAGTGTTCACACCTTCCACACGCAGAAACAACAGGTGCGGCAAAAGGACTGTCGCCGTGCCATCCTGACAGTATCCTGAGCAAAAGCCTTCTCCAGAGACTGACAGAACCTCAGCAGCAGGAACCCCATTTACCAGCTCCAAGAGCGTTATTCTCCATTTCCTTCAGAGCAACATCACCTGGGTTCAGGGCGAGCTCAATTTTCAAGCTGTGTCATGAAGCGTTCAGTGAGAACTAAGTGAAACTCATGGCAACTGCATCATCTTTCTCCCTCTGTTTTGTAAATCAAAATACTTTACAACATCTATTCAAGAAGAAGCAATTTTATTGGTTCCATCTGACAGGTTTCACTATGAATGACTCAGTTTGCTAGACAGTCTCTCTCATGATTTTGGTGAGTTTCTGGATCTTTGACCTTGTTGACATGTCCACGTACTTCTCCCCAATATTGACAATCATGCCACCAAGGATTGATGGATCAGTCTAAAGAAGAAACATTGACAGAAATTCTATTAGCAAGAATTTGTAAGCCTAGTATCTTTTTTTACTAGTGTAAAAATTAAAAAAGGCTCTTTTAAAAGCTTTTTTTACAAGATTACTTTCCAGTCACTATATTCCAAAGTTAAGATTTGAGTAATCAAAGCATCATCAGGTCTACAAGAAAGCACAGAAATATGTAATACAGCAACTGGATTCAATAAAGTGATTTTTTTTTTTTTTTAAGATCAGAGAGACAGAAGTCCAGCTTAACATGAACTTGATGAAATCTATTTACAAATCAAAAATCCAGACCTTGGTCTCCAGCTTCAAGACTTCTCCCTTAGCCAAGAATCCACTCAGAGCACTTTTTAGCTCAGTGAGGCTGGCATCATCCAAGGGCTGAAACATACCAACAGAAGACAAGGAAAATGAAGGACTTGAAAATATTCAAATGATATGATGACAACCCAGATTTTCTACTCAGATTCTTCTAAAGATAGACACTTCCACCAGGAAGGCAGAGCAAGCAGCCTTCTCGAACAGGAATAACCAAAGGACAGCACAAAAACCAGCAGTCACTTTGTGCCCTCCTAATTTCATGAAACATTGCATTATTTGAGCACATATTCTCAGCAAAAGTTCAATGCTGACATCTTCAGACGGCAAGCATCAGGAATCCACATTTGCCAAAGTAAGCAGTTGATGGAAAACTTTGAGATCTGCCTCACAGCAGTGTTCAGGCTGTACAAGGAAAGATTAATTTTGCTGCTTCTGACAATTGAGATCATCAGCCTGAGAAGAAACACGGTTTCATACAAAGGACTGGGGAGTGACTGAGGACACTGGCAGGGAGCTCCCAGCCCTGCTACAGGCTTGCAGAATGCTCCTGGCTCCATCTCCACAGAGGAGCTCTGCATCCCTGCGGGAGACACTGTGAATCTGTCCTTGCGATCCCTACAAGTCACTTGGATACCATCAAGACAGAAACAAAAGGGACTTCACCAAAAAGCAGTGGCTTTCTGTACTGGCAATTTAAATAATTTCTATTTAATAGCTAACAGTTTGAGAGCCAAAAGAAATAACAAGAAAAAAGCAGCAGGAAAGTAACTTTACGTATGAAATATTTAGGAAAACTTGTGGAAAGGTTTGCACAGGCTTGTGAGTCCACACCGAAGGCTACCAACTAGACTGACAAGCTGTGCGTACAGGGAGCCAGTTAATCTGAAGCGGATCGGCCTATTTAGCCCAGCGAGGCAGCTCACTGTAGCCGTACCCAAGGGCTATAGATTTACATTACACACTGAGCTTCCTGCCCTAAACAGGCCTGGGCACGGATCCACGCACAAAAAAGTTACTGAAGTCCCAGAACCACCGTGCCTCCAGCACGTTTACAGCTCACGGAGACACCATCTTCCCTCTCACCTTCCTGAGCATCAGCCAGACTTGCCTGTCTGCTACTTTTGAAAAAGTCTTCCTACAGTTTTGGAGTTAACCACTTGGCTCGATTACTGCAGGTGGTGAAGCAGGTAGCTGCTCCCCATGAAGCACAGCACCAAGCACCACAGGCATTCTCAGTCCTATCAGGTACCTGCCTTGCTCTAGCTCATCTGTTAGTTCTGACATCATCTGTATGATCCTGATGACAGAAATAAGAAGAGAGGCAGTTGTACCTGTAGACCAAGCTGACTTTTATCAGCCACTGGGTTCACACATAGGAAGAAAAGATGTTACCTGTTAAGCTGAAATGGGAGGAACAGGTTTAATTCATATAATCATTGGATATATATATTGGATTATCATCTAATCCAATAATCATTGGATATCAAAAAACTATTCACAGAAAGACTTTAATCTTTATAGAGGTGACATTATTTCCTCACTATTCATACAGCAAGTACTTAAACTACAAAGAGCAAAACTAAGCTAAAGAAGTTTGCCTTTTATACTGCTACCCATTAAGCTCGATCTAGAGGTTCTTAACTCACCTGCGCAGTGGTAACTGTGCACAGCACTTCTCCTCGGTATGCACTCATGATCTTCCCAAATGCAGAAACAATGTCTGGTGTGTAACGCAAGCGCCCGTTTTCAGCAAGCAAATCTGGAAGAGGCAGATGCATGGAAAGGGTTTAAAGCACCTACTAGAAGCAGGCTGGATTAGCTAACGGTAATAAAAGTAGCCTTAGATGTTTCTCTGCAGTCAAATAGTTACTCACTCATCAGGTTGACAGTAATAGTGGACATCTTCTCTTTTGCTAAAGCATCATTCACAGCTTTTTGTTTAACTGTGGTCTTGATGTGAGGGTTCATAACCACACTGGATAGCTTGGGGTCCTTCAAGAGAGTCTAAGAGGATACACAAAGAACATGATAAAGGCCAGGAGTTTTCCAGGCATTACAAGGCCTAAGTAGACTACCCAAAGCAGACAACGCCATCATTCCTTGAGTAAGAATGAAGAGGTCTGAAGCTAGTGAGAAGTGAGATGGCAGCTGCAGGTGTAGCTCATTTACAGCATGTTTCTTTTAGAGCTGCTGCTCCTCCTGCAACACTTCCAAGCAGCTTAACACTAGGAGCGCGCTGCAGACAGCGCACATGCCAGGCCAGCTGTAACTGGGAATCTCACAGTTTGCAAGAGCTGAGTTCACCTCCCTCCTAACAAGCAGCAGCAGGCAAGCCCCACCGCTCTCAAATCCCCATGCGAGCTTAGGCAAAGGCAGGCTGCAGAATACCTTACCCACACTCGGCTCAGCTCCTTCTCTACCTGGTCCAGCTTCTTCTGCTTGGTGGCGGCAGAGTACAGCGCGGTGGCATAGCGCCCTTCCAGCCCGTACACCTGGATGGGGGGCTGGGGGCG